CATCTACAATAAAATGACAAACTTCTAAATTTTATTTTAATGTTTATTTATTTTTTAACATTTATTTATTATGGAGAGACAGAGACACACAGAGTGTGAGCAGGGGAGGGTGCAGAGAGAGGGGGAGACACAGAATCTGAAGCAGGCTCCAGGCTCTGAGCTGTCAGCCCAGAGCCTGACCCGAAGCTCGAACTCACAAACTGTGAGATCATGGCCTGAGCCAAAGTCTGACGCCTAACCAACTGAGCCACCCAGGCACCCCTAAAATGACAAACTTCTGTTAATCAGAACCTTGTAATAGAATGGCAGGGGAAGCCACAAACTGGGAGAAGGTGTTTGCAACCAAAGGATTCCTCTGCAGAATGTACAAATGGATAGATAGTTAAGGGCCTGGGGTACGCTAGGCAATTGACAAAAGAGCAACAAGAATGGTCAATAGATATAACAAGGTGCTCAACGTCATCAGTAATCAGGAAAATACAAGTTAAGATCACACGAGAGATCAACTGGCAAAAATTTTAAATCTGACATGTCATGGGTTGGTAGGGATGTGGAATAATGGAATCTGTACTATTGAGGGTGGTATGGCTTGGTTGTACCATACAGTTGGCAACGATTTTACATCAAATCAAACTGAAAATGTACACTCCCAGGAATCCCACTCCTAGGTATACACTCTAGAGTAGTGGTTCTCAACACAGACTGAACATTAGAATCATCTAAGGATCTTCTTAAAAATGCTGCCCAAACCCTACTCCAAATCAACAGAATCTTGGGAGGTAGGGCCTTATTGCTGGTAATGACAAAAGACTTGTACTCCAGATGACTCTAATGTGCAGTCCCAGGTGAGAACCATTCCCTGGGTATATGCAGAGCAGCCCTGCTTGAATAGTAAAAGACTAAAATAGCCTGACTCGTCATCACTAGGAGAAGAGATAAACTGTAGGATCTTCTTATGTAAAATACCACGCAACAGAGAAAACCAAATGTATTAGTTGTGCATATCATCATGGACAATTCTAATAGAATGCTTGGCACAAAAAGCAAGTCTTCAAATAATAATATCATTTAAGCCCCAAAACATCAGGATTTAAGGGCGCCTGGGTGGCTCAGTGGGTTAAGCACCCGACTCTTGATTTCGGCTCAGGTCGTGATCTCCCGATTTGTGAGATGGAGCCCCTCACTGGACTCCAGGCTGACAGCATGGAGCCTGCTTGGGATTTTCCCTCTCCCTCTCTCTCTCTGCCCCTCCCCTGCTTGCACATGCTCTCTCTCTCAAAATAAACTCTTAAGAAGTCAGAATGTATAAGATCAACACACAAAAATCAGTTGTGTATCTCCACACCAGCAATGAAAGATTTTAAAAGAACATTAAGGTAACGATTCTATTTGTGATAGTTTCCATAAAAAATTAAATTACCTGGGAATAAGCTTAGGCAAGGAGCTGAAAAACGTGCATTGAAAACTACAAAACATTCCTGAAATAAATTAAAGAAGACCTAAATAAATGGAGAGACATCCATGTTAATGGGTTGGCAGACTTAATATTGTTAAGATGGCCCAACTACCCAAATTAATGTGCAGATTCAATGCAATCCCTATTGAAATCCTAATGACCTTTTTTGAAGACATGGAAAACTCATCCTAAAATTCATATGGAATTGCAAGGAGCCCTGAATACCCCATATTGAAAAAAAGGAACAGGGACGCCTGGATGGCTTGGTGGTTGGGCATCTGACTCTTGATTTGGGCTTAGGTCATGATCTCACGGTTTGTGAGTTTAAGCCCCATGACAGACTGCACTGACAGCGTGGAGCCTGCTTGGAGTATTCATTCTCTCTCTCTCTCTCTCTCTCACTCTCTCTCTCTCTCTCTCTCTCCCCACCTCCCAAATAAGTAAATAAACATTAAAAAGAAAAAGAAGAGAACAAATTTAGAGGACTCACACTTCCCAATTTAAAAATATACTACAAAGGACAGTAATCAAAACAGTGTGGTACTGGCATAAAGTGATCCATAGATCAATGGAATACAATTGCCAGTCCAGAAATATACCCAGACATCTATGGCCAACTGATTTTCAATAAGGGTGCCAAGACTATTCAATAAGGGAAAGAATAGTCTCTTTAACAAATGGTGCTGGGACAACTGGACAGCTACATGCAAAAGAATGAAATTGGACTCCTACCTCACGCTATATACAAAAATTAACTCAAAATGGATCAACAATGGGAATGTAAAATGGTACAGCTGCTATAGAAAATAATATGATGGTTCCTTAAAAAATTAAACGTAAGATTACTATATTATCCAGCAATTCTACTTGTGGGTATATATCCAAAATAAATGAAGGCAAGGACTCGAACAGAGATTTGTACACCAATGTTCATAGCAGTGTTATTCACAATGATTGAAAGGTGGAAACAACTGAAATGTCCATTGATTGATGGATAAATTTTGATATGTCCATATAATAGAATATTATTTAGCCATAAATTGGAATGAAGTACTGACCCATGCTACCATATGGTTGAAGCTTGAAAACGTTATGCTAAGTGAAATAACCCCCACACAAAAGGCCTAGATATTGTATGATATATCCAGAATAGATAAATTGGTAGAGACAGAAAGCTGATTGGTGACTGGGTCAGGGGGCAGGTAGAGGAAATGGTAAGTAACTGCTTAACGGGTATAAGGTTTCTTTCCGGGGTGATGACAATGTTTTGGAACTAGATAGAGGTGCTGGCTGCACCACATTGTGAATGTACGAAGTACCACTAGACTTTTTTTAACTCTAAAATTGTTAATTTTATGTTATGTGAATTTCACCTCAATTAAAGAAGAAACACGCAAGACTGACTATATTTTTAAGAGATAAATTCATCCGTAACTTAACGATAGAGAAAATCAAGGGAATGAGAAACACAAACTTCAGTTCACCTGTGGGATATAATTGGGGAAGGGCACCCAGGAGTATTCTGCTTTTTAAATCACATCAGTGTTCATTATATCATTATTTCTTTGCGTAGGTTACTAACATTCTTTCATACATCAAAGAAATCATTCTTGGGGGGCCTGGGTGGCTCAGTCGGTTGAGTGCCCAACTCTTAATTTCAACTCTGGTCATGATCTCACAGTGTGTGAGTTCGAGCCCCACATGGGGCTGTGCTGACAGTGCAGAGCCTCCTTGGGATTCTCTCTCTCTGCCCCTCCCCCACTTGTGTGCATGCTCTCTCTATCGCTCTCTCTCTCTCTCAAAAGTAAATAAATATTTTTTAAAAAAAAAACATTCTCCATAATTTGCAAAATGCACTGTGCAGTCTCCTTGGTGTCCACTGACAGTCTTGTTTCTCCAATTCTGTGGATGTCCCAGCCCATCTGTCAGCCCCAATGACAGGGTTGCAAGGACACACCCTGTAATCAGCCAGGCTGCTGGCTCCACTGTCTGCCTATCCCCATTCCCACTACTTGCTCCCTAACCCCCATCCTGCCCACCCAGGCAAGGGGTCCTCACTGCCCCCTTAATGCACATACACAAACCAGGCACAGAACCTTGCCTGTGTCTGTCGCCAGCCTGGAACAAGTTTCTGCTTCCCCACGAATATACATATCCTGGCTTTCCCTCAGTGGGAGCCTGAGCACCCTTGTAAACTTGGTGAGTAATCAGAGTTCCTCTGTGGTCTGTCCTCCCACTGGGTAACCCTTAGTTACCCTCGAAGAGACAAGTGCTTGTAAACGTGGCAGGGTATAGCCCAGCCCAACTAGGGCCCTTCTGCTGTTGTGTGTGGTGGGTTGGGGTGGGGGGCAGGTAGAGGGGCAGTGAAGATGGGAGCTACTGCTGGAGGGAGTATCAGCCCAGGGACAAGGCAGCAAAGGTCAGGAGACTGACTGCAGGGAATGAATGCCAGGAGAGGTCCTGCTTGGGATCACAGCATCTGAGGAGGAGGAGACCAGAGGACCCAACAGGGAAGGAAGGGATCCCAGTGGGAGAAGAGGCAGGCAGCTAGACCTGGTGCCGTACCTCAGGCTTCCCTGCTCTCAGGGAGGGACAAACAGGATGCTCAGCCCTGTGGGCCGCTCCAGAGGAGCCAAGTTCCTCAGATCCTAGCTTGCTTCACTTCTGGGGCTGGGTG